TGAGATCTAACTTTGTGAAGAACCGCGCTCCGCGTAATGACTCCGTCATAGTCGCAATCAGAGGAAGAGGGTAACTGTACTTAACCGTGATCTGATTGAGACTACGGTAATCAATACACGGGCGCAAACCCCCGTCCTTCTTCTTCACAAAGAAGAAACTCGAGGAAACCGGGGAAGTGGAGGACCGTATGTATCCCTGTGCCAAGGACTCGGCTATGTAAGTCTCCATAGCCGCGGTCTCCTCTTGAGACAGGGGATACACACGACTCCGCGGAAATGCCGCTCCTGTTTGGAGATCTATCGCACAATCCCCCTGTCTATGAGGTGGTAGCCGTGTTGCCCTCGTTTTGCTGAACACATGTGCTAAATCCTCATATTCAGGGGGAATGCGCATTGCGGGCACTTTGTTCGGACTCTCCACCGAGGTCGCCCGTAAGGAAACACCTAGACATCTCCCTACACACTGGGCAGACCACTCCATAAGAGCCCTCTGTTGCCACGCAATGGTAGGATCATGGGCGCTTAACCAGGGAAGCCCCAGCACCACGGGATACGCAGGAGAGTCGATCAGATAAAACTGAATGATCTCCTCATGACCCCCCTGCGTCGTCATCTTAAGTGGTGCTGTGACTTCTCTGATCAACCCCGACCCCAGCGGCCGGCTGTCTAGGGCATGAACAGGAAAGGGGGCTTCTACCGGCCGAAGGGGAATTCCTAACCTATAACAAAATTCACGATCAACAAAGTTCCCAGCTGCGGCTGAATCTACTAGCGCCTTATGCTGGGAATGAGGTGCCACCTGTGGAAATCTCACAGGTATACACAAGTGATCAACAGAGAGCTCTGGGTAAGTGGGACGCCTACTCACCTGAAATGACTCCCCAGTGCGTGACCTGTTGTCCCCTCTCCCAGGAGACCCTCCCCAGCACCTAGCCGCAGTGTGTCCTCCACGGCCACAGTTGGTGCAGGGGACGGCCCCCCTCGGGTTCTCTCTCCTCCTCTCCCTAGCGCCAGCACCCCCGAGCTCCATGGGAACCGTCTCGGAGGTGCTGCAGGGTGGAATGGACGACCCCCACTCGGGACGTCCGCGGGTAGCCAGCAGGGTGTCGAGACGGATGGAAATGTCCACCAACTGGTCGAAGGATAGGTTGGTGTCCCTGCAGGCCAGCTCACGACGAACGTCCTCTCGTAGGCTACACCGGTAATGGTCGATGAGGGCCCTCTCATTCCACCCCGCATCCGCCGCTAGAGTCCGGAACTCCAGGGCGAACTCCTGTGCACTCCTCTTCCCCTGTCGGAGGTGGAACAGACGCTCCCCCGCCGCCTTCCCCTCAGGTGGATGATCGAACACAGCCCTGAAGCGGCGGGAGAACTCCGCGTAGGTGATGGTGGCGGCGTCTATTCCCCTCCATTCGGCGTTGGCCCACTCCAACGCCTTGCCGGATAGACAGGAGATGAGGGCGGAGACGCTCTCGTATCCCGAGGGCGCCGGGTTTATGGTGGCCAGGTAGAGTTCCACCTGCAGGAGGAACCCCTGACACCCGGCTGCAGAACCATCATATGCCCTCGGGAGTGAGAGCCGAATGCCACTGGGTTCCGGTGCTGGGAGAGGAGGACTAGCCGATGGTGATGGTAAGGTGTGCGAAGACGTGGGCACCTCTCCTGTAACCAATCGGCGCAGCGTGTTGGACACCTCGTTCATGGCGGCCCCAAGTTGCCGGATCATGGTGTCTTGGTCGCTGATCCGATCCTCCAGCGACTTGGGGCCCGCCGCTGCTCCTGCTGACTCCATATGGTGTTTTGTTCTGTCAATGGCTGAGGTAAATGTGGTGTGGGAGTCAGGCGCAGGACACCGAAGCTTAGTCCAACAAAGTTTACTAGTGCAAACCAAAGCACCATACAATGAACGGCCTCAACAAATAAACAGAGGCAAGCGATTACGCAAACTGTGCGTAAACCAATAAAACAATAAACAGAGAAAAACACGCAGCACTAACGGACAGGTGGATAACAACACACAAACTAACCAACACCAAACAGGCAACTTATAGGACACACAATTAGACACAAACGGACACAGGTGCAACAGACAGACAACAGCAATCAAACATCGAAACATTCAACGGTGGCAGCTAGTACTCCGGGGACGACGAACGCCGAAGCCTGCCCGAACAAGGAGGAGGAGCAGCCTCGGCAGAATCCGTGACATAGTCACCTGGAATGCATTTCAATTAACAGGTGTGCCTTTTTAAAAGTTAATTTGTGGAATTGCGTTTGAGCCAATCAGTTGTGTTATGACAAGGTAGGGGGGGTATACAGAAGATAGCCATATTTGGTAAAAGACCAAGTCAATATTATGGCAAGAACAGCTCAAATAAGCAAAGAGAAATGACAGTCCATCATTACTTGAAGACATGAAGGTCAGTCAATCCGGAAAATGTCAAGAACTTTGAAAGTTTATTCAAGTACAGTTGCAAAAACCATCAAGCGCTATGATGAACCTGGCTCTCATGAGGACCGCCACAGGAAAGGAAGACCCATAGTTACCTCGGCTGCAGAGGATAAGTTCATTAGAGTTACCAGCTTCAGAAATTGCAGCCCAAATAAATGCTTCACAGAGTTCAAGTAACAGACACATCTCAACATCAACTGTTCAGAGGAGACTGTGTTAATCAGGCCTTCATGGTCAAATTGCTGCAAAAAAAACACTAATTAAAGGACACCAATAAGAAGAAGAGACTTGCTTGGGCTAAGAAACACGAGCAATGGACATTAGACCGCTGGAAATCTGTCCTTTGGTCTGATGAGTCCAAATTTGAGATTTTTGGTTCCAACCGCCATCTTTGTGAGATGCAGAGTAGCTGAACAAATGATCTCTGCATGTGTGGTTCCCACCGTGAAGCATGGAGGAGGAGGTGTGATGGTGTGGGGGTAATTTGCTGGTGACACTGTCAGTGATTTATTTAGAATTCAAAGCAAACTTAACCAGCATGGTTACCACAGCATTCTGCAGCGATACGCCATCCCATCTGGTTTGCTCTTAGTGGGACTATCATTAGTATTTTAACAGGACAAAGACCCAACACACCTCCAGGCTGTGTAAGGGCTATTTGACCAAGAAGGAGAGTGATGGAGTGCTGCATCAGATGACCTGGCCTCCACAATCACCGGACCTCAACCCAATTGAGATGGTTTGGGATGAGTTGGACCGCAGAGTGAAGGAAAAGCAGCCAACAAGTGCTCAGCATATGTGGGAACTCCTTCAAGACTGTTGGAAAAGCATTCCAGGTGAAGCTGGTTGAGAGAATGCCAAGAGTTTGCAAAGCTGTCATCAAGGCAAAGGGTGGCTACTTTGAAGAATGTAAAATCAAAAATATATTTTGATTTGGTTATCACTTTTTTGGTTACTACATGATTTCATGTGTTATTTCATAGTTTTGATGTCTTCACTATTATTCTACAATGTAGAAAATTGTAAAAATAAAGAAAAACCCTTGAATGAGTAGGTGTGTCCAAACTGTTGACTGGTACTGTATTTGTGGTGTTCATTTAACGTTAGGGTTAGGCATAAGCTAAGCAGTGTGATTGAGGTTAGGGTTGAAGTTAGGGTTAGGTTTAAAAATAGATTTTAAGAAGATAAATGGTAGAAAATAGGCGGGTTTATGACTTTGTGGAAAATAGTGACGACCTTTGAAGATCATATGTTTTGAATCTAGGCCGTCACCCGGAATCGGTCCGTATTCTTTTTGATAAGGCATATTTATAAATGCTTTATGCATGAGAAAATAGATATGACTGTACATTAACTGCATGAAATTCATACACAGATCTTTATTGTTGGTATTATAGATCTGAGTGGCAAACTGCAGAGTTAATTACCATGAAATACTTAGCTATAAATGCTTTATGAATGGGAAAATAGATTTTACTTTACTTTGACTGCATACATAGACCCTTAATGTGTGCGTTATAGAACAGTATGACCAACTTCATTGTGATGTGGAGGCCTGTTAATGAGTTATGTTATGACCCTCAACTACACGATTTGATCCATAAAATGTACCCTAGGGAATCAACCCTGTTGGGATCTTCATGCACCATTGACCTCAGTGAGAGGAAGAAGAAGGTAAGTAATGGCTATAGCGGCCGTTGGGAGAAATGGGGCTGGTACATGCTACATATCAGCATCATTTTCAATACGTGGTCTCTAATACCGGTATGGCAGAAGCACACGTTTGAGAACAGCCATAATGATGACACTAGGCTGTCATTGTAATGTCGCTTTTATTAAGATACTGTACCTAAATATCAGCTTTTGCATAGTATGACACGAATGTGCTATATATATATGATATTAATATATTTCATTAATCTTTATTGATGCGGTTGGGACCTGTAATAACAAGTTTGTGAAATACTTATAGATCTGTAATAAATGCATTATGGATATGTAGTCCAAGTATATCTTTACCCTTTTATTATTTGTTTTTATGCATACATCTGTATAGATGATGTAATTATAGTATTACAGATTAAGCCTGTACCATGTTTGACCATGATTGTTTTTAGTGCCTCGAAACTCAATTCCAGTGGTGCACAATGTGTTATTATACTTTTATATCAGTATTTTGTATTATTGTATCATTGTTGAGTGTCACTTAAATGCATTTTTCGAACTCTAACTCTACTGTACAATGTTTCAAACCTTCAGGTTGGTTAAACGAACCAGCATATCTTCCTTAGCCTTCTGGAAAATGTTGTTATTCTTCATGTGATGGTGTAGCTCATCTTTCATCCTTTTTAGAGAATCTTTTCCTGTATGCTCTGATGCCCCTAAAACACAGTCATCATATTGTTTCCATAACCATTGTATGACTTCATCTGCTATTAATACATTCTAAATATGTTTGAAAACTTGTTACTTCCCAAATATCATTATAATTTTCATAACTAGGCCACCACTTTATCTCAGCTAAAACATTTTATTTTTAAGACTTACTTATATAGCATCGATGCATGGTGTCCTTGATTGACTCGGTTAGAGTGGAGTAGATTCTTTTCTTTTTCTCGCGGAGGTCACAGATTAGTTTTGCCTTCAACTCAGTTTCCTTTCAGATAGAAACTAATTTAAGTGGTTTCCTTAATATTTCAATGTTGCATTTCCTGATTTAGTTTCAAAAAGGCACTCGCACATCTGAGCTATCTTCTACAGTGGCTTGCGAAAGTATTCAACCTCCCTTGGCATTTTTCCTATTTTGTTGCCTAACAACCTGGAATTAAAATGGATTTTGGGGGGGTTTGTATCATTTGATTTACACAACATGCCTACCACTTTGAAGATGCAAAATCTTCAAAGATTCCCAAAGTCAATAATTTGTAGAGCCACCTTTTGCAGCAATTACAGCTGCAAGTCTCTTGGGGTCTCTATAAGCTTGGCACATCTAGCCACTGGGATTTTTGCCCATTCTTCAAGGCAAAACTGCTCCAGCTCCTTCAAGTTGGATGAGTTCCGCTGGTGTACAGCAATCTTTAAGTCATACCACAGATTCTCAATTGGATTGAGGTCTGGGCTTTGATTAGGCCATTCCAAGACATTTAAATGTTTCCCCTTAAACCACTCAAGTGTTGATTTAGCAGTATGCTTAGGGTCATTGTCCTGCTGGAAGGTGAACATCCGTCCCAGTCTCAAATCTCTGGAAGACTGAAACAGGTTTCCCTCAAGAATTTCCCTGTATTTAGCTCCATCCATAACACTTTCAATTCTGACCAGTTTCCCAGTCACTGCCGATGAAAAACATCCCAACAGCATGATGCTGCCACCACCATGCTTCACTGTGGGGATCACTGTGGGGATTATGTTCTCGGGGTGATGAGAGGTGTTGGGTTTGCCCAATTTTAGTCTCATCTGATCAGAGTACCTTCTTCCATATGTTTGGGGAGTCTCCCACATACCTTTTGGCGAACACCAAACGTGTTTGCTTATTTTGTTCTTTAAGCAATGGCTTTTTCCTTGCCACTCCTCTGTAAAGCCCAGCTCTGTGGAGTGTGCGGCTTAAAGTGGTCCTATGGACAGATACTCCAATCTCCGCTGTGGAGCTTTGCAGCCCTTCAGGGTTATCTTTGGTCTCTTTGTTGCCTCTCTGATTAATGCCCTCCTTGCCTGGTCCGTGAGTTTTGGTGGGCGGCCCTCTCTTGGCAGGTTTGTTGTGGTGCCATATTCTTTCTATTTTTTAATAATGGATTTAATGGTGCTCTGTGGGATGGTCAAAGTGTCTGATATTTTTTATAACCCAACCCTGATCTGTACTTCTCCACAACTTTGTCCCTGACCTGTTTGGAGAGCTCCTTGGTCTTCATGGTGCCGCTTGCTTGGTGGTGCCCCTGGCTTAGTGTTGTTGCAGACTCTGGGGCATTTCAGAACAGGTGTATATATATACACTGAGAATGCACACAGGTGGACTTTATTTAACTAATTATGTGACTTCTGAAGGTAATTGGTTTCACCAGATCGTATTTAAGGGCTTCATAGCAAAGGGGGTGAATACATATGCACGCACCACTTTTCTGTTATTTATTTTTTATAATTTTTTGAAACAAGTTATTTTTTTCATTTCACTCACCAATTTAGACTATTATATGTATGTCCATTACATGAAATCCAAATAAAAATAAATTGAAATTACAGGTTGTAATGCAACAAAATCCAAGGGGGATGAATACCTATGCAAGGCACTGTAGCTTTGTTGCAGGTGCATGGTAACAATTGAATAACATGAAAGAGAAACCCGCACAATGCTCTTGCTAGTATCATTGTTCTTTAAGCTTTACGTATCGGCCTCAAGACTGATTTCTTTTTAAACCTTACCTCCGTCTTGAGGAATGTCAGATGCAGTGACACTTCCGGGTGCTCCCCAACCAAGCTGTTTGTGTCAAGGGTGAATGTATCAATCTGCTCCTTGATTGGCCCACGTTCGCCCTCGTTTCTGCAAATCAGAAGGATGGTTACTAGATTTGAGTCAAGGCCCTTATCATTCCATGTGTATTATATACAGTGCATTCGGAAAGTATTCAGACCCCTTGACTTTTTCCACATTTTGTTACGTTACAGCCTTATTCTAAAATTGATTAAATAAAAACAATTCATCTTCAATCTACACAGAATACCTCATAATGATAACGAGCAAACACGTTTTTAGACATTAAATGACCTTAAATGAACACCAGAAATATATAAAAACATTTCCACGATTTGTGACTCACCGCCTCGATTCGGTCTTATGTAGCAAAATTTGAAATTGTGTTTTTTTACATTGGATACAAGTAGAGATTCAGAGCTAGAAAATGGTATACGGTGCATTTGGAAAGTATTCAGCCCCCTTGACTTTTTCCACATTTTATTCTAAAATCATTTTTTATACACATTATCCCATAATGACAAAGCGAAAACAGGTTTTTAGAAATGTTTGCAATGTATTTATGTATTAAAAATAAAAAACAAATACCATATTTATATAAGTATTCAGAACCTTTGCTATGAGACTCAAAATTGAGCTCAGGTGCATAGTGTTTCTCTGCAGATCCTCTCAAGCAATGTCTGGTTGAATGGGGAGAGTCGCTGCACAGCTATTTTCAGGTCTCTCCAGAGATGTTCGATCGGGTTCAAGTCCGAGCTCTGGCTGGGCCACTCAAGGGCATTCAGAGACTTGTCCTGAAGCCACGACTGTGTTGTCTTGCCGATGTGCTTAGGGTCGTTGACATGTTGGAAGGTGAACCTTCACCCCAGTCTGAGGTCCTGAGTGCTCTGGAGCAGGTTTTCATCAAGGATCTCTCTGTACTTTGCTCCGTTCATCTTTCCCTCGATCCTGACTAGTCTCCCGGTCCCTACCGCTGAAAAACATCCCCAAAGCATGATTTTTCGACCACCATGCTTCACCGTAGGTTTCCTCCAGACGTGACGCTTGGCATTCAGGCCAAAGAGTTCAATCTTGGTTTCATCAGACCACACATTCCTATCTCAGAGATCTATGGACAATTCCTTCAACCTCATGGCTGTGTTTTTGCTCTGATGTGCACTGTCAACTGTGGGACCTTATATAGACAGGTGTGTGTCTTGTGGTCCTCTGTAGCTCAGCTGGTAGAGCACGGCGCTTGTAACGCCAAGGTAGTGGGTTCGATCCCCGGGACCACCCATACACAAAAAAATAATGTATGCACGCATGACTGTAAGTCGCTTTGGATAAAAGTGTCTGCTAAATGGCATATTATTATTATTATTATTTCCAAATCATGTCCAATCAATTTAGTTTTCCACAGGTGGACTCCAATCAAGTTGTAGAAACATCTCAAGAATGATCAATGGAAACAGGATGCATCTGTGCTCAATTTCGAGTCTAATAGCAAAGGGTCTGAATAGTTAGGTTAATAAGGTATTGATGTTTTACATGTATTTATTTATTTCTAAAAACCTGTTTTCACTTTGTCATTATGGTGTATTGTGTGTAGATTGATAAGGGGAAAAAAACTTGACTGGAAAAAGTCAATACTTTCCAAATGCACATATATATTTAGATAATGATTATATTACTTACGGGAAATATCTCTTAAACTCTTCATCAATGAGACTTCTCATACATGAGGCTAAACTCTCATTAAGGTTTATTTCCCTTCTCCTTTCCCTTTTCCCTTTTGGTTTATAAATGCCACCATTCTTGCATAAAGCCTTCACTACTTGATATCCACAGCCTTTTTTCCCTTTCTGGGAAAAAATAAAGAAAATATGTTAGACATTTTCAACAGCACATCATTGGAAATCTGTCATGCATGAGTATCTCTTCAATAGCTGCTTTTCCAGTATCGTGCGAGCCTACGGTATAAAGTTGAAGTCGGAAGTTTACATACACCTTAGCCAAATACATTTAAACTCAGTTTTTCACAATTCCTGACATTTAATCCCTGTCTTAGGTCAGTTAGGATCACCACTTTATTTTAAGAATGTGAAATGTCAGAATAATAGTAGAGAAAATTATTTATTTCATATTTTATTTATTTTATCACATTCCCAGTGGGTCAGAAGTTTATATACACTCAATTAGTATTTGGTAGCATTGCCTTTCAATTGTTTAACTTGGGTCAAACGTTTTGGGTAGCCTTTCACAAGCTTCCCACAATAAATTGGGTGAATTTTGGCCCATTCCTCAAGACAGAGCTGGTGTAACTGAGTCAGGTTTGTAGGCCTCCTTGCTCGCACACACTTTTTCAGTTCTGCCCACAAATGTTCTATAGGATTGAGGTCAGGGCTTTGTGATAGCCACACCAATACCTTGACTTTGTTGTCTTTAATCAATTTTGCCACAACTTTGGAAGTATGCTTGGGGTCATTGTCCATTTGGAAGACCCATTTGCGACCAACCTTTAACTTCCTGACTGATGTCTTGCTGTCTTGCTTCAATATATCCACATAATTTTCCTTCCTCATGATGCCATCTATTTTGTGAAGTGCACCAGTCCCTCCTGCAGCAAAGCACCCCCACAGCATGATGCTGCCACCCCTGTGCTTCACGGTTGGGATGGTGTTCTTCAGCTTGCAAGTCCCCCCTTTTCCTCCAAAAATAACGATGGTCATTATGGCCAAACAGTTCTATTTTTGTGTCATCAGACCAGAGGACATTTCTCCAAAAAGTATGATCTTTGTCTCTTAGTGCAGTTGCAAACCGTAGTCTGGATTTTTTATGGCGGTTTTGGAGCTGTGGCTTCTTCCTTGCTGAGTGGCCTTTCAGGTTATGTCGATATAGGACTCGTTTTACTGTGGATATGGATACTTTTGTACGTGTTTCCTTCAGCATCTTCACAAGGTCCTTTGCTGTTGTTCTGGGATTGATTTGCACTTTTCGCACCAAAGTACGTTAATCTCTAGGAGACAGAACGCGTCTCCTTCCTGAGCGGTATGACGGCTGCGTGGTCCCATGGTGTTTATACTTGTGTACTATTTTTTGTACAGATGAACGTGGTACCTTCAGGCATTTGGAAATTGCTCCCAAGGATGAACCAGACTTGTGGAGGCACCGAGTTCGAAGGTAGGCCTTGAAATACATCCACAGGTACACCTCCAATTGATTCAAATTATGTCAATTAGCCTGTCAGAAGCTTCTAAAGCCATGACATCATTTTCTGGAATTTTCCAAGCTGTTTAAAGGCACAGTCAACTTCGTGTATGTAAACTTCTGACCCACTGGAGTTGTGATACAGTGAATTATAGGTGAAATAATCTGTCTGTAAACAATTGTTGGAAAAATTACTTGTGTCATGGACAAAGTAGATGTCCTAACCAACTTGCCAAAACTATAGTTTGTTAACAAGAAATTTGTGGAGTGGTTGAAAAACTAGTTTTAATGACTCCAACCTAAGTTTATGTAAACTTCCGACTTCAACTGTATTTGTGCGAACCAATGCGTGCTATTGCTGGAGAATTTTGAAAATCGAGAGACTTGGTACATCATAACTTCATGTACAGTGGGGAGAACAAGTATTTGATACACTGCCGATTTTGCAGGTTTTCCTACTTACAAAGCATGTAGAGGTCTGTAATTTTTATCATAGGTACACTTCAACTGTGAGAGACGGAATCTAAAACAAAAATCCAGAAAATCACATTGTATGATTTTTAAGTAATTAATTTGCATTTTATTGCATGACATAAGTATTTGATCACCTACCAACCAGTAAGAATTCCGGCTCTCACAGACCTGTTCGTTTTTCTTTAAGAAGCCCTCCTGTTCTCCACTCATTACCTGTATTAACTGCACCTGTTTGAACTCGTTACCTGTATAAAAGACACCTGTCCACACACTCAATCAAACAGACTCCAACCTCTCCACAATGGCCAAGACCAGAGAGCTGTGTAAGGACATCAGGGATAAAATTGTAGACCTGCACAAGGCTGGGATGGGCTACAGGACAATAGGCAAGCAGCTTTGTGAGAAGGCAACAACTGTTGGCGCAATTATTAGAAAATGGAAGAAGTTCAAGATGACGGTCAATCACCCTCGGTCTGGGGCTCCATGCAAGATCTCACCTCGTGGGGCATCAATGATCATGAGGAAGGTGAGGGATCAGCCCAGAACTACACGGCAGGACCTGGTCAATTACCTGAAGACAGCTGGGACCACAGTCTCAAAGAAAACCATTAGTAACACACTACGCCGTCATGGATTAAAATCCTGCAGCGCACGCAAGGTCCCCCTGCTCAAGCCAGCGCATGTCCAGGCCCGTCTGAAGTTTGCCAATGACCATCTGGATGATCCAGAGGAGGAATGGGAGAAGGTCATGTGGTCTGATGAGACAAAAATAGAGCTTTTTGGTCTAAACTCCACTCGCCTTGTTTGGAGGAAGAAGAAGGATGAGTACAACCCCAAGAACACCATCCCAACCGTGAAGCATGGAGGTGGAAACATCATTCTTTGGGGATGCTTTTCTGCAAAGGGGACAGGACGACTGCACCGTATTGAGGGGAGGATGGATGGGGCCATGTATCGCGAGATCTTGGCCAACAACCTCCTTCCCTCAGTAAGAGCATTGAAGATGGGTCGTGGCTGGGTCTTCCAGCATGACAACGACCCGAAACACACAGCCAGGGCAACTAAGGAGTGGCACCGTAAGAAGCATCTATTTTGTCTCATCAGACCACATGACCTTCTCCCATTCCTCCTCTGGATCATCCAGATGGTCATTGGCAAACTTCAGACGGGCCTGGACATGCGCTGGCTTGAGCAGTGGGACCTTGCGTGCGCTGCAGGATTTTAATCCATGACGGCGTAGTGTGTTACTAATGGTTTTCTTTGAGACTGTGGTCCCAGCTGTCTTCAGGTAATTGACCAGGTCCTGCCGTGTAGTTCTGGGCTGATCCCTCACCTTCCTCATGATCATTGATGCCCCACGAGGTGAGATCTTGCATGGAGCCCCAGACCGAGGGTGATTGACCGTCATCTTGAACTTCTTCCATTTTCTAACAATTGCGCCAACAGTTGTTGCCTTCTCACCAAGCTGCTTGCCTATTGTCCTGTAGCCCATTCCAGCCTTGTGCAGGTCTACAATTTTATCCCTGATGTCCTTACACAGCTCTCTGGTATTGGCCATTGTGGTGAGGTTGGAGTCTGTCTGTTTGAGTGTGTGGACAGGTGTCTTTTAAACAGGTAACGAGTTCAAACAGGTGCAGTTAATACAGGTAATGAGTGGAGAACAGGAGGGCTTCTTAAAGAAAAACGAACAGGTCTGTGAGAGCCGGAATTCTTACTGGTTGGTAGGTGATCAAATACTTATGTCATGCAATAAAATGCATATTAATTATTTAAAAATCATACATTGTGATTTTCTGGATTTTTGTTTTAGATTCCATCTCTCACAGTTGAAGTGTACCTATGATAAATATTACAGACCTCTACATGCTTTGTAAGTAGGAAAACCTGCAATATCGGCAGTGTATCAAATACTTGTTCTCCCCACTGTACATCACCACCACAGAAGGTCTTCCATAACCCCTCCCTGTTTACAGTGTCAAAAGTATTGGTGAGGTTGATAAACATGCAGTAGAGGTTCATGTTTTGCTGAATATATATTTGTTGCATTTGCTTGATGGTAAATATCCCTCTCCCATTAATTTAAGAAATTCCGGAAACCTTGCATAGTTCTGTCCAATGCTTGATTAAATTCTGGGGGCAGACGTGTTCCACAAGATACTAGAACGAGGAGCGGAAGCAGGATGGTAGCTCCACCCCCCTTTTTTGCAAGTGACTGGCAAGTATATGGCCAAATGTACCCTCCCCTTCCGAAATTCGAAAGATGACAACACCTGCGAAATAATGATTTGTCCAAATGATCAATGACAAAAACTCTGCTTACCGGAACAAAGTTCCCCGTTAGTCGTCTCATCCCACACGTGCATCTATCTGTGAAAGATTATTCTCCCATTTACTTTTCTGAATCTATCTCACGCGAACCTGAGTTACAATAAATAATCACATCGCTTTTGGGGTCCTGGTTGAGTCTCTTGATTTTCAGCTTCTCTGGCGCTAGCACAAACTGGCTAGCACGGATATACACTGATTATACAAAACATTAAGAACACCTGCTCTTTCCATGACATAGACAGACCAGGTGAATCCAGCTAAAAGCTATCATCCCTTATTGATCTCACTTGTTAAATCCACTTCAATCAATGTAGATGAAGGGGAGGAGACAGGTTAAAGAAGGATTGTTAAGCCTTGACACAATTGAGACATGGACTCTGTGTGCCAGTCAAAGGGTGAATGGGTAAGACAAACAATTAAGTGCCTTTGAACAGGGTATGGTTATACAGTGGGGGAAAAAGTATTTAGTCAGCCACCAATTGTGCATGTTCTCCCACTTAAAAAGATGAGAGAGGCCTGTAATTTTCATCATAGGTACACGTCAACTATGACAGACAAATTGAGAAAAAAAATCCAGAAAATCACATTGTAGGATTTTTTATGAATTTATTTGCAAATTATGGTGGAAAATAAGTATTTGGTCAACTACAAACAAGCAAGATTTCTGGCTCTCACAGACCTGTAATTTCTTCTTTAAGAGGCTCCTCTGTCCTCCACTCGTTACCTGTATTAATGGCACCTGTTTGAACTGACACCTATAAAAGACACCTGTCCACAACCTCAAACAGTCACACTCCAAACTCCACTATGGCCAAGACCAAAGAGCTGTCAAAGGACACCAGAAACAAAATTGTAGACCTGCACCAGGCTGGGAAGACTGAATCTGCAATAGGTAAGCAGCTTGGTTTGAAGAAATCAACTGTGGGAGCAATTATTAGGAAATGGAAGACATACAAGACCACTGATAATCTCCCTCGATCTGGGGCTCCATGCAAGATCTCACCCCGTGGGGTCAAAATGATCACAAGAACGGTGAGCAAAAATCCCAGAACCACACGGGGGGACCTAGTGAATGACCTGCAGAGAGCTGGGACCAAAGTAACAAAGCCTACCATCAGTAACACACTACGCCGCCAGGGACTCAAATCCTGCAGTGCCAGACGTGTCCCCCTGCTTAAGCCAGTACATGTCCAGGCCGGTCTGAAGTTTGCTAGAGTGCATTTGGATGATCCAGAAGAGGATTGGGAGAATGTCATATGGTCAGATGAAACCAAAATAGAACTTTTTGGTAAAAACTCAACTTGTTGTGTTTGGAGGACAAAGAATGCTGAGTTGCATCCAAAGAACACCATACCTACTGTGAAGCATGGGGGTGGAAACATCATGCTTTGGGGCTGTTTTTCTGCAAAGGGACCAGGACGACTGATCCGTGTAAAGGAAATAATTAATGGGGCCATGTATCGTGAGATTTTGAGTGAAAACCTCCTTCCATCAGCAAGGGCATTGAAGATGAAACGTGGCTGGGTCTTTCAGCATGACAATGATCCCAAACACACCACCCGGGCAACGAAGGAGTGGCTTCGTAAGAAGCATTTCAAGGTCCTGGAGTGGCCTAGCCAGTCTCCAGATCTCAACCCCATAGAAAATCTTTGGAGGGAGTTGAAAGTCCGTGTTGCCCAGCGACAGCCCCAAAACATCACTGCTCTAGAGGAGATCTGCATGGAGGAATGGGCCAAAATACCAGCAACAGTGTGTGAAAACCTTGTGAAGACTTACAGAAAACGTTTGACCTGTGTCATTGCCAACAAAGGGTATATAACAAAGTATTGAGAAACTTTTGTTATTGACCAAATACTTATTTTTCACCATAATTTGCAAATAAATTCATAAAAAATCCTACAATGTGATTTTCTGGATTTTTTTTCTCATTTTGTCTGTCATAGTTGACGTTTACCTATGATGAAAATTACAGGCCTCTCTCATCTTTTTAAGTGGGAGAACTTGCACAATTGGTGGCTAACTAAATACTTTTTTTCCCCACTGTAGGTGCCAGGCGCATCGGTTTGTGTCAAGAACTGCAACGCTGTTGGGTTTTTCATCAAGCCAACTATGGGAAACATTGGAGTCAACATGGGCCAGCATCCCTGTGAAACGCTTTCGACACCTTGTAGAGTCTATGCCCCGATAAATTGAGGCTGTTCTGAGGGCAAAAGAGGCAGGGTGCAACTCAATATTAGAAAGGTGTTCCTAATGTTTGGTATACTCAGTGTAGGGTGACAGTGCAAAAGCGGCTATTCTTAAAACGTTTTTTAAAAATAGCTTACTGGTGCTATCACTTTGTTCATTAATTTCTCGCATGATTCTTCAGACTGTTGAACTCCTTCTGAGAGGCATCTTTCAAAAGTCTCATAAGCCTCATCCATAGTTTGACCAATGGACTTGATCTCCTCCTTGAGCTTCTGTTCCAGAACCTGGCACACCTCTTCTTTGCTGTCTGTCTGAAATCCAAACTCAATATAATACACTGATTCACATGATAGGAGTATGTTAACTGAGATAAATACTTTTGTTCTGCTGAAAGTCAATACCATGTTGCTGCTTTTGGCTGCTTGTATCAGAGAGAGTATCCCATAGGCTCCAGAAACATAATCTGAAGTCTTTGTGCGACGATCGTTGAGATTTCTGAGAAATTCCTGAAGTTTGGGTATTTCTGAAACATAAGTTAAAAACAAGAGATTTATTTCTACATTTGGTTGGTGTCAGTGTTCTTCGATGCTATGAGAATAGCTTAGCATGCTGTATGTATACACATTACCCACAATATTTGATAGAAAACATAAACCTGCATTATTGACTATAATATGGTCCAGGTTACACTTGGAGTTGTTCTTGACTAGGACATATTGCATGTTTAAATTTGCCAGATAAGACAGGTCATATTGAAATAGGTATGGTGCTTAAGTGAAGTTTGTTGCTATGTAAAGCAGTTTACAACAATATAATACACACAAATAATCCCAAAAAAAGCATAGGCATATAAATACAGGACACAATTGTCTCTATGTCGTAGAATCAAAAAACACGTTCAGTTATCGTACCTGTCTCTTCTTGTTGCAAATGCTTTTCCTTTTGGTATTCCTTGGAACTCACAGTAAACACCTGAAGGAAATCCTTTCCCCCACTGAAGTGTTTCTGAAAGGTGTTTATGAGACAATGACAGCCAATTCAATTAAGTCCACACACTGACATTTTGCAAGCTCTAAAAATGTATTTTCATTGTGCTCATGCAAGCTGTTGTGCTTCAACTAATTTAAAATAATCAAATACATTTTGAAGATTTTGAAGAATATGACTGACAAATTAGAATAAATGTCTTACCTTATTATAAATAAAAATATGTACCTATTACTCAGTTGTTTGTTTTGTATATTAGACAACAAAAATGTCTGAAAAGCTCTGGTGTTCAATGTAGTCTTGCTCTCATGTAATTCCATGAAATTCCTAAATCTTCACCACTACAAAATACAGTATGAGCATGTTGACATGTCACAGAAGATTCATTTATGTCAGATGTAACTTACCTTAACTTCTTTTTGTTTGTTGAATTTGTCCCTCACTTGCTTCTTGGTTGTTTCATTTCTGCGCAAAATACAGGTACGTGCATCAGCCTTTTGATTCTCCTCAATGTCGTCTGTCTTGGTGCAGATGAAACTGATGCTTCGACATTCTCCACCAGGTCCAAACAGGCTCACGGTGCTGTCTAAAATCTCCCAAGATTCCTTTTCTGAAGTTGCTCTTGCAATGTCGCTCACAATCCACACAGCAGAGCAGTTTCCAACAAACTGAAGAAGTGTAACATTAACTTAAAACTTAAAATATGTTTAATCAATTGTAGATAACTATAAATAAACTAAAATACATAGATATAGCCTTCCATTTGGCCCTGTACCTGTGATGTTGATCTAACACCAACCAAATTAGAAGTTGCATGAATACAATTCTAAACAGAATATGGAATCATCATCAATAAGAATTGTAAATAATTACCGATTTCCACATCTCATCTCTGCTCTTGTTGCAGTCTCCATTGCCTGGAAGATCAACCAGCACAACATGCTCCAGCAGGTCTTTGGAGTTTGGCACCTTGATGGTTATACACTTCACAAGCGGCCAATACTGTCTTTTAAATGTATCACTCTGTGTGTCACTCCGTGTGTAACAAGTTATCTTTTCAGAGAGTTCTTCAGCCTGCAATTGTAATAAAGCATCATTACATGCATTGATGAAAAAACAACATTATTTTCTCCAAAATAACACTTTGACAAAGATCAAATAGCCTAAAAGATGTAGTTCAATTTTTTCCTGCAATCGCTTTCAAAAGTGAATTTGTTGCGGCAAACTTCGAGCAAGTTTGTGGCAAATTTGCTGCAAACTAAATAGTGTGCCTCAAAATGTTGCCAGAAGTTTGCAAATGTTTGCCACTAGTGGTGAGTCTGTGGCAAACCTTTGGCCAAAATAATATTTATTCCCACTAGCGGCAAACAGTTTACTGGAAGCCGCTTCTGGTGAACACGAGTTCCAAGACCAGTAACCATTGACGACCAATCAGGGGGATTAGTAAAATCTGTTGGAAAATGGAAATCATGCTATCTAGCTAGCTACCTACCAAAGTTGTCCGGTGAGTGTCTAACTTATTACTTAAACTTCCTAATAAACTTTACAATTGTGTTAGCTAATTGATGCCTAGTTAGCAATGTCATGTTTTATGTGATAGAGTGAAACACATTATGTTGATACCAGTTTTAAAAACTGTCAGCGCCACTGACTGGCTAGTGCTTAGCTAGCTGGCCAGCGCTTAGCTAGCAAACGTTGGCTATTATATTTTTTCACAATTAATGTGATAGCTAGCTAGCTAACTAATGATATGCCTAAACACATATTTGTAGGTGAATACGTTGCTGTCTTTTAATACCAATATGCATGTCAAAATGCTAGTGTCACTGTTCATTAGCATGTTACCTATCACAACAGCTAAGGTAGCAACAATATGAGCTGACTTGATATCAAAGCAAGACTTCACTTTTGCAGATGGATACCCTTCCCCTATATGTGGTGTTGGAGGAGGATTCATCAACACCCTGGAAAGATGTTTGTGGTGCACTCACTCATAACACTTTTGTTGAGGGATAAATGAGTGTATCATCTTCAAGCTTGTTACAGGCTTTGGTTTTTCCATTAATGTTTTGAGGTTGGACTTCAGCGCGTTAGCGCGTAAGGCGCACTGATTGGTGTCACCTCGTTAGTCAGTATGTGTTACACCTGTGCTGGTTGCCATATCTTTAGTGGGAAAATGTTTCAGCTGTGCTGGCCCAGGTGCTATTTAAGAGTTGCTGGCCCAGTGTTCCAGTTGAGTTGAGAGATGTGTAGGGTCAACACCTTTAGTTGGCTCTTCCTATTTGATTTATAGAAAAATATTCATTTTTTTGATTTCCCTGATTTGTTCGTTTTGCTCCACCTTTTTGGTTTGCTTCCTGTCTTTATGTTTGGGTTTTTTATTTTGATTGCCTCTTCTTTGGCAAATATAGGGGCCGCTCATGGTGGGTGTCTTTTGGGTTCCAGTTGTTGTTGCTAGTCAACTTTCAGTGGACGCCCCCATGAGTGTCTTTCAGAAACCCTCCTAAAACCCTACCTGTTTTGGTTGATGGAAAGTGACTCTTTGTTAGTTACCCCTTCTGTTTGAGCGACATTTTTGGTTTTCTTGCTGGGGACAAGCTCGATAACGTAAGCAAATGCATGTATTCTCATAAATGTAGCCCATACATTCATTCTTTGTAATAATGAAGTCTTTCATTGCTGCAGTATGAAAAATTTATGCACTCACTAACTGTAAGTCGCTCTGGATAAGAGCGTCTGCTAAATGACTAAAATGTAAATGTAAATGTAATTGCTTTAAACTAGTAGCTAGCGCATCTTGAGCATGTGTTGTTCCTTCTCTCTTTCAATAAGCAATCAGTTACAAGGCAAATAGACAGATTGAGGCATTCAATCAAACTGAGGACAGAGAAATATGTGTGCACCAGGTCAAGGCTTCTTGCATGAATGACTTTGATATGAAGTTAACAATAATTAATTTTTGAAAAATAACATGACTAGCCATATTAGGCATAACTCAAATGTGTTGCTTTTCTTCAAGCCAAGCCTTATACAGTGCATTTGGAAAGTATTCAGACCCCTTGACTTTTTCCACATTTTGTTATGTTACAGCCATATTCTAAAATGGATTCATTATTTTTTTCCTCATCAATCTACACACAATACCCTAATGACAAAGCAAAAAAATGTTTTTAGAAATAATGCAAATTTATAAAAAATACAAAAACTGAAATATTACATTTACATAAGTATTCAGACACTTTATTGAGTACTTTATTGAGTACTTTGTTGAAGCACCTTTGGCCGTGATTAAAACCTTGAGTCTTCTTTGGTATGAAACTAAAAGCTTGGCACACCTGTATTTGGGGAGTTTCTCCCATTCTTCTCTGCGATCCTCTAAAGCTCTTTCAGATTGGATTGGGAGCAACGCTGCACAGATATTTTCAGGTCTCTCCAGAGATGTTTGATCGGGTTCAAGTCCAGGCTTTCATCAAGGATCTCTGTCAGAGTGACCATCGGGTTCTTGGTCACCTCCCAGGCCAAGGCCCTTCTCCCCCGATTGCTCAGTTTGGCGTGGTGGCCAGCACTTGGAAGAGTCTTGGTGGTTCCAAACTTCTTCCATTGAAGAATGATGGAGGCCACTGTGTTCTTGGGGACCTTCAATTCTGCAGATATTTGTTGGTACCCTTCCCCAGATCTGTGCCTTGACACAATCCTGTCTCGGAGCTTCCAAATCATGTCCAATCAATTGAATGTACCACAGGTGGACTCCAATCAAGTTGTAGAAACATCAAGGATGATCAATGGAAACAGGATGCACCTGAGTCTCATAGCAAAAGGTCTGAATACTTATGTAAAGAAGGTATTTATTTTATAGATTTGGAAAGGCACACACGTCTATATAAGGTCCCACAGTTGACAGTGCATGTCAGAGCAAAAACCAAGCCATGAGGTCAAAGGAATTGTCCGTAGAGCTCCGAGACAGGATTGTGTCTAGGTGGTGGCAGCATCATTCTGTGGGGATGTTTTTCAGCGGCAGGGACTGGGAGACTAGTCAGGATCGAGTCAAAGATGAACAATGCAAAGTACAGAGAGATCTTTGATGAAAACCTGCTCCAGAGCGCTCAGGACCTCAGACTGGGGCAAAGGTTCACCTTCCAACAGGACAACGACCCTAAGCACAAAGCCAAGACAACGCAGGAATGGCTTCGAGACACGTCTCTGGATGTCCTTGAGTGGCCCAGCAAGAGCCCGGATGAACATCTCTGGAGAGATCTGAAAATAGCTGTGCAGCAACGCTCCCCATCCAACCTGACAGCGCTCGAGAGGATCTGCAGAGAAGAATGGGAGAAACTCCCCAAATACAGGTGTGCCGAGCTTGTAGCGTCATATCCAAGATGACTCGATGCTGTAATTGCTGACAAAGGTGCTTCAACAAAGTACTGAGTAAAGGGTCTGAATACTTTTGTAAATGTCATATTTCCGTTTTTTATTTGTAATACATTTGCAAAAAAAATTTAAAAATGTATTCCTTTGTCATTATAGGGAATCGTGTATAGATTGATGGGAAAAAAACAATTTTATAAATGTTATAATAATGCTGTAACGCAATTTTTTTGGGAAAAAGTCAAGGGGACCTGAATACTTTCCGAAGGCACTGTAGATGTAGCTACTGTACATAAAAATACTAAATAAGCAATTTATTTGCGAAATATCTGGTCTTTGCTCTTATCTTCATTAGCATGCTGACCTCAAGTTATATTGGATTTATTTTTATCTGTTAAGAAATTGCATACATGTTTAGTACATTTAGTAATTTTAGTATGTTTAGTTTTTTGTTAGAAGCAACTTAATTTCAAGTAAAATATTATTTGGTTTACATAGATAAAACATTTCAATGTTAACACACAGTAACCAAAAATCTAATTTGCATATTTATACTGTGTTTGCAGCAAACAGTTGAATTTTTGCCACAAGTTTCCCAGAATTGTTTGCCAGAAGTTCACAAGTCGCTGCGAATTTGCCGCAGTAGTTTACCACAAAACTAATCTGCATGTGAAAATATGAGCTTGCTGCAAATTTGCGCCAAATTGGACAAAGGTTTGCCACAACTGTTTGCCAGAAGCCAGTTTTTTTGGTAAGGGAATAAATACATGATTTAATATAATTTCCAATCAGATGTGGTTGCCTTCCTAAAATGATTGTTTAACAAATGATTTTCACCAAAGCACACTATCTTCACAGAAGTAAACTAGCATGACAGTAACTTACTGTGTCACATAGAAATATTTTCTTGACTGATAAACGGAACTCTGGAATTTCTCTGAAGTGCTTCCTGTCCATTAGTTCTTCTAAGGTTGCCCCACGTCCATCTTTTCCATACAAAGCTGATATCTTTTCATCGTCGTCGTCATCCCTTTCCTGGTCTTCATCATTTCCATCCTTGCAAGATCTGTCTCTGAAGATGGACCACAGCTCCTCTTTCCATTCCTAATAGAACATGTTAAACCATTACAAATGTGTAATACATACTCTCTCCTTAAATCTTCATTTGAAAGCTAAGTCCTGTGTTATGAAACCACCTAGCCACCCAAATGGTGACCAGTATACAAATAGGAAACAAAAGGCGGTATGCCAAAACTAAAGATTTACACACAAGAAACGTGGGAAGGCCCACATGGCCCAAGAGGCTACAGTCCAGCGTTACGCCAATCTCCTGCCCTCACCGATTGCCCACACCAACACTTAAAGTGAAAGTTGCACATTAATTCACAAAACTAACAGAGTCATAGTATTCCACCAAAGAGTCTTATACTCACGATATGATAACATACATTTAAAAACTGACTGTAATTGTCCAATATGTTTAGATTTTTGGTGATATAAACAAAAAAAATGTAATCCCGAAGCTGACGTCTATCGGATTTCAAAAGTAGGATACACCTGAGCATCCTCCACCTGATCATAACTCCACTGGAGGAAGCAATTGAGGAGAGGAGCAAACTCCTTTGTTTACCTATTAACAAATGTACACCCCTACATATGGCGACCACATACAGTGGGGAGAACAAGTATTTGATACACTGCCTATTTTGCAGGTTTTCCTACAAAGCATGTAGAGGTCTGTAATGTTTATCATAGGTACATTTCAACTGTGAGAGACGGAATCTAAAACAAAAATCCAGAAAATCACATTGTATGATTTTTAAGTAATTAATTTGCATTTTATTGCATGACATAAGTATTTGATCACCTACCAACCAGTAAGAATTCCGGCTCTCACAGACCTGTTACTTTTTCTTTAAGAAGCCCCCCTGTTCTCAACTCATTACTTGTATTAACTGCACCTGTTTGAACTCGTTACCTGTATAAAAGACACCTGTCCACACACTCAATCAAACAGACTCCAACCTCTCCACAATGGCCAAGACCAGAGAGTTGTGTAAGGACATCAGGGATAAAATTGTAGACCTGCACAAGGTTGGGATGGGCTACAGGACAATAGGCAAGCAGCTTGGTGAGAAGGCAACAACTGTTGGCGCAATTATTAGAAAATGGAAGAAGTTCAAGATGACGGTCAATCACCCTCGGTCTGGGGCTCCATGCAAGATCTCGGCGGCAGGTAGCTTAGTGGGTAAGAGCGTTGTGCCAGTAACCGAAAGGTCGCTGGTTCTAATCCCCGAGCCGGCTAGGTGAAAAATCTGTCGATGTGCCCTTGAGCAAGGCACTTAACCCTAATTGCTCCTGTAAGTCGCTCTGGATAAGAGCGTCTGCTAAATGACTAAAAATGTAAATGTAAAAATCTCACCGCGTGGGGCATCAATGATCATGAGGAAGGTGAGGGATCAGCCCAGAACTACACAGCAGGACCTGGTCAATGACCTGAAGAGAGCTGGGACCACAGTCTCAAAGAAAACCATTAGTAACACACTACGCCGTCATGGATTAAAATCCTGCAGCGCACGCAAGGTCCCCCTGCTCAAGCCAGCGCATGTCCAGGCCCGTCTGAAGTTTGCCAATGACCATCTGGATGATCCAGAGGAGGAATGGGAGAAGGTCATGTGGTCTGATGAGACAAAAAAATAGCTTTTTGGTCTAAACTCCACTCGCCGTGTTTGGAGGAAGAAGAAGGATGAGTACAACCCCAAGAACACCATCCCAACCGTGTAGCATGGAGATGGAAACATCATTCTTTGGGGATGCTTTTCTGCAAAGGGGACAGGACGACTGCACCGTATTGAGGGGAGGATGGATGGGGCCATGTATCGCAAGATCTTGGCCAACAACCTCCTTCCCTCAGTAAGAGCATTGAAGATGGGTTGTGGCTGGGTCTTCCAGCATGACAACGACCCGAAACACACAGCCAGGGCAACTAAGGAGTGGCTCCGTAAGAAGCATCTCAAGGTCCTGGAGTGGCCTAGCCAGTCTCCAGACCTGAACCCAATAGAAAATCTTTGGAGGGAGCTGAAAGTCCGTATTGCCCAGCGACAGCCCCGAAACCTGAAGGATCTGGAGAAGGTATGGAGGAGTGGGCCAAAATCCCTGCTGCAGTGTGTTCAAACCTGGTCAAGACCTACAGGAAACGTATGATCTCTGTAATTGCAAACAAAGGTTTCTGTACCAAATATTAAGTTCTGCTTTTCTGATGTATCAAATACTTATGTCATGCAAATTAATTACTTAAAAATCATACGATGTGATTTTCTGGATTTTTGTTTTAGATTCCGTCTCTCACAGTTGAAGTGTACCTATGATAATAATTACAGACCTCTACATGCTTTGTAAGTAGGAAAACCTGCAAAATCGGCAGTGTATCAAATACTTGTTCTCCCCACTGTATGTATGCATTCTCATCACCAGCTCCACAAACCCTGCTGGCTTACTATCTGCAACATACTATCACCCTGTATCCTCTATTCTGGAAGAGGATGATTAATGTGACTTGCTTCATCAGTCGTATTCTTAATTTTTGTCATATTTTTGACTAATGGCTGATTGCTTCTATCTAGTGGGCTGGGTGGTAGCCTAGCAGTTAAGAGGTTGGGCCAGTAACCAAAAGGTTGCTGGTTCGAATCCCCGAACTGACTAAGTGAAATGTGCCCTTGAGCAAGGCACTTAACCCTAATTGCTCATGTAAGTCAGTCTGGATAAGAGCGTCTGCTAAATAACTAAAATATAAACATTTAAAATCTAGCACATGGCGCGTGGCAATTGCCTGCAATTCACACATCATGTGTAGATGCCGTTGATTAGCACAATCTGTGCTCGCTCCCTCTTTCCCACCCAAAATGAGTCTGTAGATGAACGTTGCCGCGTGAAACCAGGTGGTAGGCAACATCAGCGCTGTGTAGCGCACGGCCGTTTCGCCGGTGACTTCACCTCCTCATGATGTCAGTATCTTCCAAAACTGAGATTTGAGAAAGGAATCAAGGGTGCGTAACAGTTTTCCTTGGGTTGGGTTTAGATTTCAAACCTGCCCACGGCTGGCAGCACCCAAATAATCATTGATTCAGAGCACAGCTGCAAGTGACCCGATCGTAGCATCAATCATCATACCACCCGCCCTTTTCTGTACAGACCGCAAAGCTAACCAATTGAGGCATTAGCACACAGAATCTCAGGACTTATTTGATGGACATTACATGAGACAAGAAACTAGACATACATCGTAGGCAATGTTTTGTTGAAAGAACAAGACTTCCTCGTTATTTCAAACATCCTCACATTTGTGAGCTAACGTTAGCATCACAAACACAACAGTCATCAAAGATACCATAGAAAGGAGGAAATTCGCTCAGTGCTTGGGATTCTTGACCAATCATGTTTAAGTTGTCATGCTGCATCACGCGGTTGGTATGGTGTATGTTTGGGATAGTTCAACTACAGTGGCTAAAGAGGAACACACAACGATAGGCTATAGCGAACATACCACACCCACATCCAACCGCACCCCCAAGACAGCTCTCGCTCATGGTTTCTCAATGAGCAGTTGAAAAAACGAGGCTAAATCAGTGAGTTCAGCCCCTCATTAAGACATCCTTATGCTTGGCATGACTATATGGGCAGAGCAAACCGGATATGCCCTTAAATATTTTTATGTGCAACCTGGAATTGAAATTTAAAAGGACCAGTGCATCTAACAAGAAAACCCCCCTCAAATCTGTGCCGTTTGCGAGCAATGTTAGGCTACATTGTATCATTGTTTCTTCTTTTAAATTAATGGAAGGTGTCAATTGGGTCAATGAAGTTACCTTGATATGTTTCAAAGAAGCCTTTCATTAATTGTACTGTTCATCATGACACCACTTCCAAAACATTGTGAGATTAGGATATAAACAGATGAAACAGATGCTGTTACCTCCTCTGTCATGAACTCAATCTCTGCGATGTATTTTGAGTCCGAGTCTGTCATATTGGCCTCCACCTGAATCATGACCGAGGTGCACGCCCCTTGGTTTCCGGAGGGCAGCAATTTCGTTTCACCCAAGATGGTGTTAATCAAGAAGCTCTTACCAGCTCCAGTCTTCCCAAAAACACCCACTATCTCTTTTTTGTCTTTCTCCAACGTTTGGATTTTACCTCTGTTAGAAATGAAAGACGAAAACAATTAAAGCAATTTAGTGGCCTGTACGCGTCTCTCTCCATGTGTTTTCTCTCCACCATTTAAAAATGCATACCTGAGGAAGTCAATGACTTTTGTAGAAGGCAGATCATCAAGTTTGCTTTTGACACGTTGCATGATCTTCTTCACCTCTGTCTTGGTTTCAATTTCTGGCAGAGTTAAACACAGGTCACCAACCAATTATAATGTTGTTGCGTCAACGTGTTTATAAAGGTGGAAAAGATATTACATGGAAAAAATTTGGAATGTAGAGTGGCATTCAGATCTGCTATATCATAAACTGAGAACCTTTTTCTGTGTGTAAAGTCAAAGGAGTACTTAGTCAGCCACCAATTGTGCAAGTTCTCCCACTTAAAAAGATGAGAGAGGCCTGTAATTTTCATCATAGGTACACGTCAACTATGACAGACAAAATGAGGGGAAAAAAATCCAGATAATCACATTGTAGGATTTTTAATGAATTTATTTGCAAATTATGGTGGAAAATAAGTATTTGGTCAATAACAAAAGTTTCTCAATACTTTGTTATATACCCTTTGTTGGCAATGACACAGGTCAAACGTTTTCTGTAAGTCTTCACAAGGTTTTCACACACTGTTGCTGGTATTTTGGCCCATTCCTCCATGCAGATCTCCTCTAGAGCAGTGATGTTTTGGGGCGATCGCTGGGCAACACAGACTTTCAACTCCCTGGCTAGGCCACTCCAGGACTGGCTAGGCCACTCCAGGACCTTGAAATGCTTCTTACGAAGCCACTCCTTCGTTGCCCGGGCGGTGTGTTTGGGATCATTGTCATGCTGAAAGACCCAGCCACGTTTAATCTTCAATGCCCTTGCTGATGGAAGGAGGTTTTCACTCAGAATCTCATGATACATGGCCCCATTCATTCTTTCCTTTACACGGATCAGTCGTCCTGGTCCCTTTGCAGAAAACAGCCCCAAAGCATGATGTTTCCACCCCAATGCTTCACAGTAGGTATGGTGTTCTTTGGATGCAACTCAGCATTCTTTGTCCTCCAAACACGACAAGTTGAGTTTTTACCAAAAAGTTCTATTTTGGTTTCATCTGACCATATGACATTCTCCCAATCCTCTTCTGGATCATCCAAATGCACTCTAGCAAACTTCAGACGGGCCTGGACATGTACTGGCTTAAGCAGGGGGACACGTCTGGCACTGCAGGATTTGAGTCCCTGGCGGCGTAGTGTGTTACTGATGGTAGGCTTTGTTACTTTGTCCCAGCTCTCTGCAGGTCATTCACTAGGTCCCCCCATGTGGTTCTGGGATTTTTGCTCACCGTTCTTGTGATCATTTTGACCCCACGGGGTGAGATCTTGCGTGGAGCCCCAGATCGAGGGAGATTATCAGTGGTCTTGTATGTCTTCCATTTCCTAATAATTGCTCCCACAGTTGATTTCTTCAGACCAAGCTGCTTACCTATTGCAGATTCAGTCTTCCCAGCCTGGTGCAGGTCTACAATTTTGTTTCTGGTGTCCTTTGACAGCTCTTTGGTCTTGGCCATAGTGGAGTTTGGAGTGTGACTGTTTGAGGTTGTGGACAGGTGTCTTTTATACTGATAACAAGTTCAAACAGGTGCCATTAATACAGGTAACGAGTGGAGGACAGAGGAGCCTCTTAAATAAGAAGTTACAGGTCTGTGAGAGCCAGAAATCTTGCTTGTTTGTAGGTGACCAAATACTTATTTTCCACCATAATTTGCAAATAAATTCATAAAAAATCCTACAATGTGATTTTCTGGAAAAAAAAATCTCAATTTGTCTGTCATAGTTGACGTGTACCTATGATGAAAATTACAGGCCTCTCTCATCTTTTTAAGTGGGAGAACTTGCACAATTGGTGGCTGACTAAATACTTTTTTTCCCCACTGTACAGTATTTACTACTCTTAGAGAGATGGCTACAAGAGCAGAGCACTGGAATCTATACCACCACTTTTGAGGTCTGAAAACTGACAAACTTCGATTTTAGAGTGAACTGTAATTGTAGCTTGTCCTACCGTGCAACATGCAAACAGTAAACAGTGAACTGTCAGTCATGTACATTTCTAGGATTCTCAATTAGGAATGTCTACAATACATGATCTTAAATGGTTTCCAATTAAAAGAGAGTTTCTTAAAATGATTGTGGTCCATATAAACACCATCCACCTACCAAATGTTTCAGTTATGGATGCAGCACCACGTTGTCGTTTCTTTGTTTGTTTGTTTGCATGGGTCTCATCAGATTTCCTTTTGCCTGGAAACAATTGGAAACGTATTTTATTCATTAATACACAACTCTCAATCTCGTAATAGCCAATGCTGTTATGCAAATGAGTTACATCAGTCAGTGAAAAAGCATTTCAGATGATCTATTTACTGTATGCATATGATACAGGGTACAAAGGGTACTTGCAAATCAAGTGTAAAGTATCTCATATTTCAATTATTCACTTTTTTGTTTTTGAAATACTATATCACGCTACATTCTTCTCATTGTCATTTTCTAACACAAGTAATTTTTCTGTAAGATCTGAAACATCTGTGCTTTTTACCTGGGATATTCACTTGAAGAGGGGGTATCTTACTGGTGGAGGGTTCACTCTGAAGAAACATATACATTACCGGTCAAAGGTTTTAGAACACCTCTCATTCAAGGGTTTTTCTTTATTTTTTCAACTAATTTCTACATTGTAGAATAATAGTGAAGACATCAAAACTATGAAATAACACATATGGAATCATGTAGTAACCAAAAAAGTGTTAAACAAATCAAAATATATTTTATATTTGAGATTCTTCAAATAGCCACCCTTTGCCTTGATAACAGCTTTGCACACTCTTCGGACTGCAGAGTGAAGGAAAAGCAGCCAACAAGTGCTCAGCATATGTGGGAACTCCTTCAAGACTGTTGGAAAAGCATTCCAGGTGAAGCTGGTTGAGAGAATGCCAAGAGTGTGCAAAGCTGTTATCAAGGCAAAGGGTGACTATTTGAAGAATCTCAAATATAAAATATATTTTGAGTTGTTTATCACTTTTTTGGTTCCTACATGATTCCATATGTGTTATTTCATAGTTTTGATGTCTTCACTATTATTCTACAATGTAGAAATTAGTTTTAAAAATAAAGAAAAACCCTTGAATGAGTAGGTGTCCTAAAACATTTGACCGGTAGTGTAGATAATCAACAGGTTATTAAAGGAATCATTCCACAAGACTTACAACACAAACATATCACAATTGTTACCCTCTATATAGCCTATTTCTGTGCTTTTCTTGCTTTAGTTTGAGATGCATTTTCTTTAATAATTTTGGTCTCTTCCTGTATGTTGTTTTCACTAATTACCTTTGACTGATGTTGCTTATAGATTAGATTAAATGTTGGCTATGTTGTATAGCGTTGCGACTATGAGAAAGCGGCAGGTAGCCTAGCTGTCAAGAGCATTGGGCGAGTAACTGAAAGGTTGCTGGTTTGAATTCCCAAGCCGACTAGGTGAAAAAGCACTTGCCCTTGAGCGAGGACCTTAACCCTAATTGCACCTGTAATTCGCTCTACATAAGAGTGTCTGCCAAATAACTGATATATAAAGCGTTTGATAAATGCATTTGATTGTTATTATCTTAGTCCCTCTGGAGTACACTGCTATCCTAATCTTAATGTATGACAATCCATCTCTGTTAAATGGCATGAGACATTCCAAGAAGTGATTCCTTGGGATCACCACTGACCCCTGCCTTAGTTGTGACCACAGATAAATGAGCTCTAGATTTTACCCACCTGGTCACACACTGTTTCTCCCACTCCAGAGGTGTCGGTTGTGGGCACACTTCCTCCAAGTGTACCAAAGGGTTTATCCAATGACCTGGCGACAGAGAGTCAATTGTCATTTTGTTGTCACCAACGGGACATTATATCTAGTCAGTGATAAATAAAGAAATGCTGTGTTTCTTACCTTGTAGTCTCTGATCGTTTAGGAGTTTGCTTTCTGGGTTTTATGATGGCCTTTTGACAAGGCTCTTGATTGACCATCTCACCAGTAACCTGGGGACAGAAGCCATGTTGGGTTATAGGGTGAGAAATATAAAGGTCTGTATGCTGATCTAAATAAAAAAAACTATGCATTTGGTTTAGTTAATTGTGCTAGGGCTTAGGTTTCACGTATATGGTTATAGAGGAGGGTAAATATGGTACATTTCCTGAGGAACTCTTGGAGGCCTTAATGGATACTGATGACCACGTGGCCGCTTGAATGTTCTTATTTCCATTGGGTTGCTTCCGTTTCTGCAGTTAAAAAACAGAATTCTCTCAGTTGTTAGGCAAAGAACAAGAAAGGTACAATAACAGGTCAGACTATAGTTAGAACACACCCTAACCTTGTTTTGCTGCAATGCAGGACATTTGAAACTTATAGTGTATTTGAGGTTTAAAATGGCTTCTGAATTTGTAATTTCCACTTTGAAATTTCACACCTGATTTTCCCTATCGAAAAATGTATCATCCACTACACAAAATGTCTATTAATTATAATCCACATAATAATTCACATTTCCTGTTGATGCAATACTATTTTCATGCTGTAGCAAACTGGCTCAAATTAAAGGGGAATTTCACCCTGGCTCTGCCACGGTATATAGTCATTACTATATTAACAACATTATGTTTTTGTCATAAACATCAACATTATCCAAACCACAAGCTAGAACAAGGGCATTTTAATTTCACTGGTAGAATCAGGAAGTTTTGACTTCCTGTGCATTCTTCTGCTCATAGTGCACCACAAAGTCCAGCATTCATAGTGAATGCAGATATCGCCCCGCTAGGTAGATGGGACATGCCCACAACCTTGGTTGATGCCGTTGTTTATTTAGAACGACCAACACACAGTAATCTCAGAATGTACTCTAGGCTATTGTTTTTGAAAATGTTTGTTTTTCACTAACGTTTTTCATCATGTCTGTGTGTTGTTCTGTCTGGCTGTGCTAATTACAAACAAGCACGAAAGTGTGTTATCTTTCACCGTTCTACATATCAGAGATTTACCCCGACGCTGCCAGTGGTTTGCGGCTATCAAGAATGATGCTTACGGTGACCAAAGATTATCCGAGGGATTTTCATGGTAAACGGATGGGGAATCCATTTAGACTATAGCTGAGAAGGGATGCGATAAAATTGTTTTCTCCCTTCACAACAAAATGGAAGATTCTCAATTAGAAGTAACGTAAGGTTCACTGGAATAGGTCAATTAGCTAGCTAACTTTACAGTCCTGTGTTGAACTCTGCAAGCCATCAGCTAGATCATATAGCTAGCTATCTTTTGGATATACACTGTCAATCAATTTCACCTATGTCATGGTAGTATTGATGGGATGAAAGTACAGGACATATATCCAAACAGTAGTCACTAGATGTTGACACAGGAGTGAATATTCATAATTGTTTTCTTTTTTGGGGGAGGGGGTATTTTACCCCCTTTTTCTCCCCAATTTCGTGGTATCCAATTGGTAGTAGTTGCAGTCCCATCGCTGAAACCACCGTACAGACACGGGAGAGGCGAAGGTCAAGAGTTGTGCGTCCTCCGAAACACAACGCAACCAACCCGCACTGCTTCTTGACACAGTGCCCGCTTAAGCCGGAAGCCAGCCGCACCAATGCGTCGGAGGAAACGCCGTACACCTGGCGACCGAGCCAGCGCGCACTGCGCCCGGCCCGCCACAGGGGTCGCTATAGCGTGTTGGGACAAGGACATCCCTGCTGGCCAAACCCTCCCCTACCCTGGACCAATTGTGCGCCGCCCCATGGGTCTCCCGGTCGCGGCCGGCTACGACAGAGCCTGGACTCGAACCAGGATCTCTCGTGGCACAGCGCCACTCTGGAGTGAATATTCATTCTTGTACCTTCTTGTCGTGACGACCATTTACTATATTAGGCCTACAAACTTTTTTGTTATGAAATGCTCCACACATTACATATTTATAGATATTGGTTGTGCTTAGAGACAGTAAATTAATTTTTGTGTATGAGAACAATTGAAAGGTGCCATTTCTCCTCAATCTCCCATACACATCAATACATACTGTGTAAGAACTGCCCTCCTAAGACTTTTCAGACCTTCTGCAGCCCCCCAGCCAATTCACTTTGTTGACTGATCTTTCCTCTCAAGAGCAGCTCCCAATGTCCCTCATTGTCCCTAAACAATATACTAGTCTGTCTCTAAACACTTAGGTCCCAATCGGTTTACACATTTAACAACAAAGGCATGTTGCCCTACGTCCCTTCCACAAAAAGTGTTAATGGTAACACCACAACCATGTAGTTCCTGGAGACGTGCAGTACCAGCAAATCTTCTGCAAGAGGTCCAAACAGTTGGTGGTTAAGGTCTACAAGTCCTACACTATTTCTGGCAGTCTTATCCAGCTGGCCGTACACCGCAGACAGGACAAGACCATTCGCCACAAGCACTCTGCTTCCACAGCCCATCATGCCAAACACCATTGCACAGAAGCCGGATAAAGGACCATCAAATAAATATGGATATTTTTGATCAATCATCGACATTTGTCTTCCTTTATGGATTCACTGAAGATATTTATGTAAGCTGTACAGGGCTCTGTAGCATCAAACTGATGCTAGAAATTCAGATATATTTATTTGTCAATCTAAAACACAGGGGAGTGTACAATATTTAATGCTAACTCAAAAAGAAAACTGGATATTCAACAAGAACGTTATATGGTAAAAGTAACATACAAAAAAATACAGTATGAACAGTGTAGTACAGTTCAGTGTGTCTGAGTGTGTCTCAGGTGTAGTAAAGTGCAGAGAAATGTAGCTACAGATTGTTACAACAGATAATATGATTTAACCAAAGATTTTTGGTATCCATTACTGGGATTTACAGGATAAGTACTGTTTGGAGTAGCACAGATTATTTTCGACCAACCTTAGCTTGGCGATGCTCTCTTCATCCTCGATTTGTGGAAACAGGAGTCTCAAAATGTCAGTCTCCAGTTGCAGGGGGTCCGTTTGAATTTAGAAAATGCTCCGTTTTAAAATAAAAACTTTTTTGCTCCATGAAGTAATCCAACAGTGTACGCCGCCATCTTATCTATTTCAACTCTTCTCTCATTGATTGAAACAGGTGAGTGTCCACCCCAAAGTTCTGCATGTCATGATGACAGACACCTGTCTCGATCAATGAGAGAAGACTTGAAATAGACAAGATGGCGGCGTACACATTGTTGGTTTACTGCAAGGAGCAAAATTAATTACCTACTGTATCCTGTAACTCCCAGTAATGGATACCAAAAATATTTGGTTAAATTACATTATCTGGTGTAACAATCAAAGCATACAATAAGTTCAGGGAACACTTGTACAGCTGTGGGAGGAGTGTCGTCATGATCAAACTGCCATTCAGCTCCTCGAGTCATCTTCTACTTGAAATCCAGAATAATGTCCAATCGATGAAGAGGGATACAGTTCACAGGTTACAGTTCTGCTACAATGACACATGCAGCCAAAGGAATTCTGTTTCTCTCCAATAATCCACTCCAGGAAGAAGCCCAGGCACCACATGGTCTTGTCTGTAAGACAAAATAAGATAATAAATTATACTCCGTTGCACAGTTTGAACGACAGTTGAACTGTGCCAGCATAACAACATTAGGGTAGACTAGTTGAACATGCATAGATGTGCAGGCCCAGAGATTACATTTACAACAATGTAGCCTAATAGAAAGAAATATGGCATAGCCCTCAACATTTGCACAGTGACCAGACCGTACAAACAAGCTAATCAGTTTCAGAGATTTAAATTGCTGAATTATTGTTTCTCCTCACTTTTAGCTAGTAACCTTAGCTAGCTAGCTTGCTGGATAGCCAATAATTGTTATTTACCTCTGTTTGGAATCCTATCTTGCATCATGCCTATAGTTTTGAGATTTTAAGATGCATTTTAAGATCCAAGGTCATAATCATAACCAATATCAAGCCTCGTCAATTATGTTACATAGCTAGCAAGTAAAACTATTTACAGTCGCTGATGTTACACATGTTCGCTAAAAAGTTACAAAAGCGAGGCCTGTTGCAAAATAAGTTAGCAGGTGCCAGGCTATCTAGCTAGCTAACTCCAGTCATGTGCTAACATTTGCTGATAAACCAAGCTTTAGGTGGCTGGTTGTAACGTTATAGCTTGCTGTTTAATACCCATATCTACAACTAAAAAGAGAAGAGGTTTTACAATTGAAATATAATAGATCTCAGATTTTAAAACCTCTTTTATTATTAGTAATCGATATGGCTAGTTACCTGTAGTTGTTTAGCTAACTTAGCTAGCTAGACAAGCTAACTTAGCTACATACCTAGCTACCTAAGTTAGCAAACAGAAAAATAATTAGATTTCCCCCCCACTGTAACACAGTAGTATGTTAGCCAGCAATACATAATATGGTTTTCAGTAGATAAACTAAAGTTAGCAAGGTGGCTTGTAGGAAAAATAACTTACTTAGCTAGCCATCGTATTTGAAATCTGCCCTCTTGGTGCTGGCATCGGCTTTAGCTGAGTTTCTAGCTAAATCCAACCGTTTGTTTCGAATCCTCTTCGCTATATTCCAGTTGAAACATGTATGGTTGAATGTCACCATGTAGTAAAAGAAATGCTCCTTTGTCGAATTCATGTTGATGAGAGGAATCAATTGAAGCCATTGTGGTCTGGTCAGTTCTTTCAGTTTTGCCAAAAGGATTGTGTTGTTAAGGCGTCGGCATGCTTCCCAGCCAAAACAGTGTGGAAGAGTTTGTGCATATATTATGATGACATTTTGTGAAGTTTTTGTTAGTTTGGACTTCGGTAAGAGTTGTTTCAGCTGTTCGGGCACATACATTTTTTTCTTGAGTCCAGCCGAAGTTCGGGAGCCGAAGTCTATGCACCTTTGTCCGAGATTGGTCAACTGTAGGGATTCTTCAATAAAATCTTTGTTGTCATTGAGAAATAGAGCACCAAACATCTTAGTTAGATGTAAAATTGAGCAAATAAGGTCACCTCGTCAAAAACGTCAAAATTAAAGACAGATTTCTTGAGTTATCTTGGATTCATTTGGACTATTTTGAGGAATGGCTACCTTGTCTCAAAATGGACAAACAGTACTATTGCTGCTTTTTTTTCTTCTTTTTTTAAGCAAAGGTCTTGTAAGGGAGTATGCGAGCACACACGTTCGGTTCACACACGTTCGGTTCACCTAGCCGACTTCGGCTAGCTGCCAGCCGAACTGAAGCATGTTGACGCCTTTAGTGTCCTGCCTTGGCGGAGGGACGGGGCCAGAGCACGAAGCACTGCCCCACACGATTTGTAGTCTTTCAGAGACTGGAAAAATGTGCCAGCTCGTATATTCAGCAAGGAATCCCCTAATAGGAACATCACTGAAAGACATTCAATGGCTCTATCAAACAAGGACAACCATATAGACACGCACAGAAATGTATAATGCGATCAGTATCACATAGAGCCTTCGCAAAATGCCACAAAGCAGGACTACAGTTATTTTCAGACTCCCCCCCCCCCCCCCCCCCCACCCCCCCACGGTGTACCTGCCTTCCTCCTGGACAATTATGTGTGACACACATCTCACTGACCTAGGAATGCCTCAGACATGATGAAAACAAGCCCAGATTCCCCCAGGGTGAAATTTCCCTTTAAGATCATACATGAGTAACACAAAATGTCCTGTAATATGCTAAGACATTTGTAAGCTGAAAAAAAATATGCCAGTGCAGTGGACATGTTAAAGTACAATGTCACAGCTTAGAACTTAATGCAAACAGTTTATTCTGCACTACTGATGTAGTACGGATAAATACAGACCATACCCAGTCACTCTGTGTAACAGTAGTTATTGTACACCAAGTTTGTAAAGTACCTTCAGAAATTTTTTGTGTTTTTTTCTAAATTTAGACCTTGGTCCTAGTTTTGGAATCAAGTTGATGAAGTCATTCTCCTTAAGGGAAAGGAAACTTTCTTCATCAATTTCTTCATCTGAAATTCAGGAAATATACATTTTAGGCATCTCAATATCATAAAATAAGTGACTGGATCAAATTAACACAAACATGTTTTCAATTGAGGTGATAATATCTTTACTTGAACGTATAATAAAACAATGTACAATAATACATACACTACCGTTCAAAAGTTTGGGGTCACTTAGAAATGTCCTTGTTTTCGAAAGAAAAGCAATTTGTTTGTCAATTAAAATAACATCAAATTGATCAGAAATACAGTGTAGACATTGTTAATGTTGTAAATGGCTATTGTAGCTGGAAACGGCTGATTTTTAATGGAATATCTACAGAGGCGTATAGAGACCCATTATCAGCAACCATCAGTCCTGTGTTCCAATGGCACGTTGTGTTTTCTAATCCAAGTTTATCATTTTAAAAGGCTAATTGATCATTAGAAAACCATTTTGCAATTATGTTAGCACAGCTGAAAACTGTTGTGCTGATTAAAGAAGCAATAAAACTGGCCTTCTTGAGACTAGTTGAGTATCTGGAGCATCAGCAATTGTGGGTTCGATTACAGGCCAGAAACAAATAACTTTCTTCTGAAACTCGTCAGTCTATTCTTGTTCTGAGAAACGAAGGATATTCCATGCGAGAAATTGCCAAGAAGTGACCCCAAACTTTTGAACGGTAGTGTACATTATTTTAATCAAATCAATCAATCAGTAATTGTATTATTACACAAGGTATTATACAATGTATAATATAAATGTATTCACCTTCAAACCTCTGAATCAAGTCACTGTGGTTCCACTCAGTTAATATGTCTCTGACAAAATCAAATGATGCCATGAGAATTTACTATAAAGGGAGAGAAAAATAGCACAGTTTAGATATTTGTGGTAGGCTATATCACATTACCTTTATTCCAAAAGGTGCAAGTGCAACTATAAAGAAAAACATGATGATTTATTAAAACAACAAATGCACATGCCATTCAGTATTTAAGCTTCATTTTCAAGATAAAATCAAGTGCTCTTGTTCTTGTGAACCATTTTGTAATCAAGACATATTTATTCTCAGATGAGTAAACTGTTTCTCTGAATGCAATTATATCGGGTTTTTTCCCCTTATCTACATTTTAATAAATAAATTAAAACATGATTGCTATAAATATTTGAAAGGTGAGGCGCCTTTCAAGACCCTTCATTTTTTTTTTACCTCTCCAGCACATGCACTTTTCATTTGTCTTTTACTTCCGATTTTCATATTGTTTTGTCTTTTAATTCTCATTAGGGATGCTAATTTCGGTCAATTTTGCTGCCGACTAACCGACACTAAATTAATTCCAAAAAGTACAATTATGTGAGCATTGAAAATACTATGCATGGGTACAAGGAACCGGCATGTTTAATTAAGAGGTTAAAAAACATATGCCAATAGCATCTCATATTAATGAACATGCAGCTACTGTAATGAAGCAGACAATGTAACACATCATTTTTAACCATTTGCCAAAATGCATTTAGCAGAAAACACTGCTCTAAACGACGCACCTAATGCAAGTGGTTTCATGTGACAGAGATTAACATCTCCATTAGAAATTTAGAAAGAGGGGAAATATAAATATGCAACAACTACGATGGGTTGTTAATATGACCTCTTGAGCTGACAAAAATCCTAGTCCCGGAAATCGGGTAGTAAGTCACCAAAAGAATACGTTTTATTTGTATCGATTAAAACAAAAATGTGTCTGGCATGTAAGTCTGACATATACAGTGGCTTGTGAAAGTATTCACCCCCCTTGGCATTTGTCCTATTTTGTTGCCTTACAACCTGGAATTAAAATTGATTTTTTGGGGGTTTGTATAATTTGATTTACACAACATGCCTACCACTTTGAAGATGCACACTATTTTTTATTGTGAAACAAACAAGAAATAAGACAACACAAAACAAAACTTGAGCGTGCGTAACTATTCACCCCCCCACCACCACCACCAAAGTCAATACTTTGTAGAGCCACCTGTTGCAGCAATTACAGCTGCAAGTCTCTATAAAATTGGCACATCTAGCCACTGGGATTTTTGCCCATTATTCAAGGCAAAACTGCTCCAGCTCCTTTATGTTGGATGGGTTCCGCTGGTGTACAGCAATCTTTAAGTCATACAACAGATTCTCAATTGGATTGAGGTCTGGGCTTTGACTATACCATTCCAAGACATTTAAATGTTTCCCCTTAAACCACTCTAGTGTTGCTTTAGCAGTATGCTTAGGCTCATTGTCCTACTGAAAGGTAGAATATCCTTGTATTTAGCGCCATCCATCATTCCTTCGATTCTGACCAGTTTCCCAGTCCCTGCCGATGAAACACATCCCCACAGCATGATGCTGCCACCACCATGCTTCACTGTGGGGGTGGTGTTCTCGGGGTGATGAGATGTGTTGGGTTTGCGCCAGACATAGCGTTTCCTTTGATGGCCAAAAAGCTCAATTTTAGTCTCATCTGACCAGAGTACCTTCTTTCATATGTTTGGGGAGTCTCCCACATGCCTTTTGGCGAACATCAAACGTGTTTGCTCATTTCTTTCTTCAAGCAATGGCTTTTTTCTGGCCACTCTTCCGTACGGCTTAAAGTGGTCCTATGGACAGATACTCCAATCTCCACTGTGGAGCTTTGCAGTTATTTTTTTCATTTCACTTCACCAATTTGGACTATTTTGTGTATGTCCATTACATGAAATCCAAATACAAATGCATTTAAATTACAAAATAGGAAAAACGCCAAGGAGGATGAATACTTTTGCAAGGCACTGTTTGGCTGCTTTCAGCTCTTCCAATGGTGTGTATTATACTGCCATCCAGTGGATGTAAGCGCTACTACATGACCTAGTTTCATAACAGCCCCAGCTATAATGTTAATTGGTTCAGAGAGGCTCATGTGAGTTGTATGGTGTAGCTGCAGCACTGAGTATGTATTGTATTCCCAGTGAATTTGGTGATGCGTTTTTTCCCATGTCCAGAAAAATGTGTCATTCAATTTGTTAGGTGTACAGTTGAAGTCGGAAGTTTACATACACTTAGGTTGGAGTCATTAAAATTAGTTTTTCAACCACTCCACAAATGTCTTGTTAACAAACTATAGTTTTGGCAAGTCGGTTAGGACATCTACATTGTGCATGACACAAGTAATTTTTCCAACAATTGTTTACAGACAGAAATGTTTCACTTATAATTCACTGTATCACAATTCCAGTGGGTCAGAAGTTTACATACACTAAGTTGACTGTGCCTTTAAACAGCTTGGAAAATTCCAGAAAATTATGTCATGGCTTTAGAAGCTTCTGATAGGCTAATTGACATCATTTGAGTCAATTGGAGGTGTACCTGTGGATGTATTTCAAGGCCTACCTTCAAACTCAGTGCCTCTTTGGTTGACATCATGGGAAAATCAAAAGAAATCAGCTAAGACCTCAGAAAGAAATGTGTAGACCTCCACGTCTAGTTCATCCTTGGGAGCGATTTCCAAATGCCTGAAGGTACCACGTTCATCTGTACAAACAATAGTACGCAAGTATAAACACCATGGGACCACGCAGCCGTCATACCGCTCAGGAAGGAGACACGTTCTGTCTCCTAGAGATGAACGTACTTTGGTGCGAAAAGTGCAAATCAATCAGAACAACAGCAAAGGACCTTGTGAAGATGCTGGAGGAAACAGGTACAAAATTATCTATATCCACAGTAAAACGAGTCCCATATCGACATAACCTGAAAGGCCGCTCAGCAAAGAAGAAGCCACTGCTCCAAAACCGCCATAAAAAAGCCAGACTATGGTTTGCAACTGCACATGGGGACAAAGATCGTACTTTTTGGAGAAATGTCCTCTGGTCTGATGAAACAAAAATAGAACTGTTTGGCCATAATGACCATCGTTATGTTTGGAGGAAAAAGGGGGTTCCTTGCAAGCCGAAGAACACCATCCCAACCGTGAAGCACAGGGGTGGCAGCATCATGATGTGGGGGTTCTTTGCTACAGGAGGGATTGATGCACTTCACAAAATAGATGGCATCATGGGGAAGGAAAACTATGTGGATATATTGAAGCAACATCTCAAGACATCAGTCAGGAAGTTAAAGCTTGGTCGCAAATGGGTCTTCCAAATGGACAACGACCCCAAGCTTACTTCCAAAGTTGTGGCAAAATGGCTTAAGGACAACAAAGTCAAGGTATTGGAGTGGCCATCACAAAGCCCTGACCTCAATCCTATAGAACCTTTGTGGGCAGAACTGAAAAAGCGTGTGCGAGCAAGGAGGCCTACAAACCTGACATAGTTAAACCAGCTCTGTCAGGAGGAATGGGCCAAAATTCACCCAACATATTGTGGGGAGCTTGTGGAAGGCTACCCGAAACGTTTGACCCAAGGTAAACAATTTAAAGGCAATGCTACCAAATACTAATTGAGTGTATGTAAACGTCTGACCCACTGGGAATGTGATGAAAGAAATAAAAGCTGAAATAAATCATTCTCTCTACTGTTATTCTGACATTTCACATTCTTAAAATAAGGTGGTGATCCTAACTGACCTAAGACAGGGAAATTCTACTATGATTAAATGTCAGGAATTGTGAAAAACTTTTTTTTAAGTTTAAATGTATTTGGCTAAGGTGTCTGTAACTTCCGACTTCAACTGTATGTCCCATCCTGATATTATGCACCCTTTTTGTAATGTGAGTATAAACATGTTTATTTTTAAGTGGCAGCATGAATTAAGTTAGCTTGAATCAGGGTTTGCTTAGGTAAAATTGGAATCAGATTTTGATTAATGTCTTGTAAGATGATAATTCAATGCTAAAGTTATCGCAAATGAGAGAAGGAAGTGATACATGTTTTACAGACATTACAAAACGGTTGTACTATAGAAGCAACCTCCACTCTACTGGTGCATTGATGAAACATGCAATTCTTTATGGCCAAATCACCTTTAAGTAATGTCAAACCAAATATCGAGTTGATTTCAGTTGCTCTTATCACTTCCAATTATTTTTTTAGCTAAATTACTGTTTTTTCCAGCACCATAGACTACTTTCAGGGTGTGGAACCATCCAAAATTAAATTGTAAAATACTGAACTTACCCTTTAAGTAAAAACGAATAGAAGATGGGTTTATCCTGTATCTAGTCCCCCCATTTGAAGAACACATAAATATTTGTACAAATTCAAATTAACAGGACAAATAAAAATTCACAGTGTTGTTACGAAATCAATTAACTAGCCTAGGGATCTTGGGCCAACCTGCAGAGGGCACACTACATCACAAATCTCTGCCCAGAAGGTCTCAGCTAGAGATACACAATAATCATCTCCACTAGGGAGAACCATTTCCTGGGAACCACTGTTGTGTATTCTCAGAAAAAGTCCCCTTTTCAGAGAAATTAGTTATTGAAGTTGTTAGGTTTATGTCTTATCCTACATCCTGATATTCCAAGGTTCTGACCACTAGATGGTGCTGTTTCCTGCTGGTGCTGTACCCTCAATGTTTTATTTTTTTTATTTTATTTATTTCACCTTTATTTAACCAGGTAAGTCAGTTGAGAACAGGTTCTCATTTACAACTGCGACCTGGCCGAGACAAAGCAAAGTAGTGCAACAAAAACAACACAGAGTTACATATGGGGTAAAAAAAAACATAAAGTCAGAGATACAACAGAAAATATATATACAGTGTGTGCAAATGTAGCAAGTTATGGAGGTAAGGCAATAAATAGGCTATAGTGCAGAATAATTACAATAGTATTAACACTGGAATGCTAGATGTGCAAGAGATTATGTGCAAATAGAGATACTGGG